AAGTCTCATTTCCCTTTAATGTTAACCATCTGAAAAGAGGATGAGAAATCGATAAAAATCGATAGGCACGACTAACACAATGCAATTTAATTCATTTAATTTCATTGAAAAAATATACGTACTTTGAAAAATTGGTTGCGTATTGATTGTAGATAAACACTTTTTCGTGGAAAGGTCTGGCTAATCCCTTTTTCGTTAGAGCTAACAGGCTTTCCTTTGATTGTGGAAACGATGCTCGAACATCAATTTCAAAAGTGGGAATAACATAGGCGCAATTCTTCTCGCAATCGACAGTTTTAAAAAAATTGTTAAGCTGCACAACACTATTAACACTAGGTATTATATCAATGTCGGTCAAAAACACATATTTCGATTGGCATCCCTTGCGGGCTAAATTTCTCATGTGGTTCTGAGGATATACATTTCTTTTTCTCCATTCTAAGGTTTTCGCAGTTCTTAATTTTAATAAGAATTTTAGCGTCTTCTCAGGGTTTCGACAGTTGAATTTTTTTTGGATGTTCAATGGTTCTGTTAAATGTCCCGGAAGGCTTTCATATTCCTGAGGAAACAAAATATGAAATGTCGCATTTGCTTTAACATTAGGAAAGCAAAGCCGCATATACGTGACAAAGTATTTTAATACTATATATTCCTCATTTCCGGCAGAGAATAATGCCACAGACATGGGACCGATCCAATTCGCGGCAACTTGTGGCAAAGAGTATAGCCGTTCTACCGAACTTTGCGTAGCTAGGCATATTAAGCTAATTTTTGAAGATTCTGTATACTGTTCGCCTACAACGGCAAAATCCTTGATCTTGTACTTGTGTTGGTTATCCCAGCGTCCGTAGCTGATATCAATATTTGCGAAAGTTAACTTAGTTTTATTACTTTCAGATATGAAATGTTCCAAATTCGTAGTGGACATTGTCATTTGTGGTCCAACGTCGGAATGATATGGGCAGTTCAAAGGAACAGTAGCTTTAGTCTTTTCTCCATCAGTATTTGTTGGGTGTCTGCTACTCCCATTAGTGACAGATTTGTAGGGTGGATACACTTTTACTAACAATAGTATGTTTACGAACAGCAGGACAATTACAATCTTTATTAAGCTTCCATGAGGTAGACGAAACTGAAATTAGAAAGTTAAAGTTTATTAGAAATCACTTTATAACTTTGATATTAATTTGGGGGTACCCCATTTAATTAAACTTTCATAACTACGTCAAAATATCAACAACTTAATATAGCCGACAATAGCAAATTGAATTTCTTCTTGGAGCATTAAATAATGTCTACAAATTATTTCAGGATTCTCAAGGAACTGTAGTTTAATTTCAATTTCAATCAGTCAAGAATCAAAAGTTTTATCGATGACCTATCGAATTTATCGGCTTGTAGAATAAAAAGATCTAAAAGTCTCTAGCACTTTCAGGTGGATAAATGAATTAGAGGGAAGTATTGTTTCTAGTTTAGAATTTTATTATAATATTCCCAGTTTAAGCATTTTATAAAATTGCATTGATTTTTATTAATATAGCCTACAATTGCATTTACCCATTCAGAAATTGTGCATGGAGGCCTAAAGATATACATATGTATGTACATATGTATGACTGTCCGTCTTAACTGAGAAATGTTGAAATGATTACAGCATTGCATTGCTCCATCAGTTCCATAATAAACACTTTGTTTGTAAATACATATGTATATATGTATGTATAAAAGGAGTAATGTATACAAACAATTTTGATTTATCCTTAACGGAAATACGTTAGACCAGAAGCACATTCACTCTTTTTATTTTAGCAGTGGCTTAAATATTGTAACTATATACTCTATTATATTACCATTATTCTGCACTTTTCTATAAGTGGGGCCAATTAAATGTGCAAACATTTACATACATATTTCACTTTGTTTGAGTACACAACTGTTCAAAGGACCAAATTAAGTGTGACCAAACCATATTCACGAACAAATACCAGAAAAGTAGCTACACATACATACATTTGGGTAACTGCGTATACATTTACATAGATATACAATTTTATTCAGGAGTAATATATCTATTTATCAATATGTTGTTGTTAGGTTATGTATTTTAATATATTGCAATATATTTTAGCGCCATGCATATTTTTAACGATACATATAAGAAGACCGATAGCCGATAAAAGGCGCAGCAATTGAATACATTTAGAAGGAATGATCGGAATATATTGAGCAAATGAAAATGTTCTTCAAGCTGACAGCTTCGCAATATATTACATATTATAATAACGTGATAGATCTATACTTATTTAATTTATTTTTTATGAACTCCTAAAAATAATTGAATTAAATACATTTGAAATGCTTGATATTTTTTTTTTTTATTGACGAAATATCAAACAATTTACTGATTTCCGTCGGCTACATTATGAGTTGAACAAAACTCTTACATAATTTAAAAATGAAAGATGAAGGATAGAATTTGCTCTTCTGTTTGCGAAAAAAATTTGTGTGTTCCACATAATGAATACAGTGCTTTCCGGTAGTGTAATTTGACATTTATCGAATCAGAACGATATATAATAACATCGATAACTAATTGAAATCGAGCATCCCCAATTAAGGTGTAAACAAAACACATACGATTTTAAGATAAAACCTTAAAATGAGCGGTGCTCATAGAGAAACTGTTCAAAAGCAAATTCATCAAGATTGGGCAAACCGAGAATACATTGAAGTTATAACAGCCAGCATAAAACGCATCACAGATTTTCTAAATTCATTTGGTAAGATGTTACATGCCATCATCAATTTAATAATGACCAATGGTTTTTATATGATTAGTACATTTACGAATACAATTTGTTAAATAAATATTATGATGCCTTGAGTTTTTATATTCATTTGATTTGGAAAGTATACTTTTATACAAAATCCTTAACATACATTCAGTAATTATTTAGTTTTGTATTGTGTATGTATTTTTAAATCTGAAAGCGGACGGATTTTTATAATGAAATAAATGAATTAACCAAGTAAACGATAGCTTTCGCTAGGTCAAATACTAAAAGTCTAAAATCCTTCTTATTCCTACTTCGTTTTGCTGTACTTTAGTCGGTGAAATTCATGTTTTTGGGATTTCGGGCAGAATTTCTCTCTTAAATTTGCGTTTTAATACTCCATTCAGGAAGTGAAGTGATCATATTGGTTTGTAATACCCGTCTTGCTGTCCGCAAGGGGAGAGAGAGTTGAGCTTTGGAATATATACTCGTATGTACCCTCGTCTGATAGCTTTAAAATTTTACTGATACGCCCACGAGGGGTGCGGCAAATCGTTAAGAAGTATTTTCCGATGTTTTTTGAAGTGCTAGAAAATTGAGCTATGGAATGTATACTTGCGTCGATAGTCAAAATTAATAGAATAAAGTACCTCTAATGATTTGCCATAGACTATATATTTTTATCCCATTTCACTATGGCTGCAAACGAAGAAAATTTACAAAAAATAAAAAGGTTCAACCGTATCCAATGTTTCCTAAGAAGGTTTTGTCGCTCTTTCACGCTCGTTAAAAATCTCTAGTAGTCTAGTGCAATATGTGTTCGTCCGCACGCGAACTGTACCCTCACCTGATTATTTGTTTACGCCCACATTGGGGCATGACAATTTCACCCTAGTGAAGCTATTAACTTAATGTTTGCAGTAAATAAAAATGTCAACATATTTTTAGTAGGTGTGGCAAGACGAAAAACACAATACTTAAAGAAGTTGTTAAGTTACAGACCTATTATAAAGATGTCGCCAACTTTCCATCCACTGTGGGCATAGCAAATCTGAAATAAATGCAAATATAGTATGGGAAGCTAGGAACTTGAAATGTAATACGTAGATACTTAAGGTTAGTTAGCTCCGACAAATAGGGGCGTATCGAATTTCGATGAAAAAAAAAAAAACTAAAAACTTGTTTTGGAGTGCTAAAGAAGAAGTGCTATACTTGAATATATAATATGCCATACTCGTATGGCGTTGGGATCTTTGGCAAGGTGGCAAATTGAAAAAAAAAAAAATGTATTTGTTACAGTTCTAAAGGTCTAAATGGCTTTCATATGATTGATTTTTCTGAATTGGAAAAATCAATGACTTTCAGAATATTTTTAAGCAATTAATAAATATATTTCTATATTATATTTGCTTGATATATATTAAACATATTACTCTTTCTTTTTTATTTTCAGATATGTCCTGTCGATCGCGTCTTGCTGTGCTCAATGAAAAACTGACAGTTCTGGAACGCCGCATCGACTATTTGGAGGCTTGTGTAACCCAAGGCGAAACATTAACGTAATAGTTTTAATAAATAAAATACGTTGTGATTTTCAATATATATAAAATGTATTAAAATATGGCGTTTCAAATAATATTCCTGCACTTCATTTGGTATATGTTGTTTTGGCGGAATGATTTAAGCTCGTTAAAGTATAGTTGTTGAGTTTGGACGAGTAAAATCCTTAAAGCGATAGCTTTAATGGGATTTTTTAAAAGCATTAGAGTCAAGTGCTGAAGTATGTCACATATCTGCTAAAAAAAAAAAGTCGGCTAAAACATTCGACTCAACCGAGAAATATCGTTACAGTATCTCCTAGTTGGGCGTTACCTACTGAAATACTCTTTTTTGATGTTTTTCCATATGCTACTGTTGTAGTTGTATTTTCTTTCTACGTGCTGCTGCGATGTGGACGAAAATAATAAATTAATGCAAAGAGAGTGGCTTCTAATAAACATTTAACAATCTGAGGCATCTTATTGGGTAAGCAGTAGACTGAATGCCCCGAGAATGCCCTTTCCAACCTTCAAGAACTTCCTTATAAGCTGAGATCATATTAAGAATCCAACTGGACAAAATATTTTAGGATATATTGCCAAAAAATGGGTATTGTAATATACAATCATTTCTTCTGATAATATAATAAATCTCAGCTCTGAAACAGGTAATATAATAAAATCAATATTATTTTTTGCAAATTTTTATTGTATTGTGTTTTGTTGTTGTTGTTGCTGTTTTTACCCCCAAACATGTGCCTGATTCAACTAACAGTTATTCGGATGATGCCACTGGCTCTTAAAACATATATATATGTATATATATAATTATTATCTAAGAAGCTATCGCGATTTTAAATGGGTCTGTTGATGTTTTTTCAGGTGATCGCTGCGTACAAATCGTCGACAACATTGAGTGCATGCATAGGGCTTCTCGCCCGTATGCGTGCGATTGTGACGATTCAAGTCGTCTTGGCGCTTGAAGCGCTTCTCACATTGCCGGCAGCGAAATGGTCGATCCTGCACAAAATGAGGCATCCCATAGGTACTGGCACCGTCCTGTGGCGGCAATTGCGATAGTGTGCGTGCAATATCCTCGGCAGGCTCATACTTGACATCCGGCTTGTCACTGAGGCCAGCCGTCAATTGGTTATCAGGTAATGGGGCTATGATTTGATATTTGTCACTATGCTCGGGTCGTTCCAATTTAATTCTGAATGGCGCATGGTCATAGCCAGCTGCTGGCGCTGGCTGCGGCTGATGGTTTTGATTTTGATTTTGATTTGGGTTCGACTCGCCCCCTCCATTGATTACTGCCATAAAATGATAGCCCGAATCGGCATCAGAGGTATTCTTTTTCGCACCCTTAACCTTGGTTGTATTAGGCAATGAACGTTTCGGATTGTTACTTTTCAGCTGTCTGTCGTGGGTGGCCAAGTGTTTGGTCAGATGATCGCTGCGTGAAAACTTTTTACTACAATGTATGCATTTGAACGGCTTTTCACCCGTATGGGTGCGCAAATGGCGATTCAGCTCGTCTGAGCGTGTGAATCCCTTCCCGCACTTGGGCTCGGTGCAGACGAATGGTTTGATGCCTGTGTGCCATGTCAGATGGGAGCGAAGGTGGGAGCTTTTTCCATAACTTTTCGTACAATTATCATAGGGGCATACGAATTTTCGTTTGGGATCCGCTGCATGGGGAGTAGCGAGCAGCTTTACTGTTGGCATTATTCGAATTTTAGAATCGCTACCATATTCTAGGCCGTCCGAAAGCATATTGTGCTCAGTCTCCACCGATTTATGTACATTATCGAGATCCAGTGGAGAGTCATGTTTGAACTCTCCAAATATGGTTGAGGCTCTAAGTATTACATCTGGGGCCGGGGCCAGAAGATTATTTCCGTGAGCGCCATCAACTAGAGATGGAAAAGTGAGTTGAGGTTTTGCTGATTCGACTGGGGCTATTGTTGATGTCGTCAGCATTTGAGGCGTGGGTGTGTTTGGAATTATTTGTGACATTACGCTTTCGTTATTTTTTTTTTTAGTCAAAACTGGATTTATTTTTATATCTGCAAGTAAATTTTTTACAAATATATATTTGCTTTTAGTTTTTATACGCAGTGTTGCAATTAAAGGCACTTAAATTTACCAGAGGTACAATTTTTTGAACATTAAAATATTCGATGGGCGTGGGCGTGGGCGTCGGCCATTCTGATTATAAACAAATCTCCATTGTTTTAGAACGGAAAATGCATTATCGTACTATTTTGATTTTAGATTTACACATGTACTAGACGATACGTACACATTAATAGTAAATAATATAAAAACTTCTTTCATATATTTTAATTATATCCTGTCGACAATAAACGGAGTGCGATAAAAATATATCGATTACTCGTTACAGTATGAAAGATTTTAGTTTATGGAGTATCTACACTAGCTATGTATATCTTCACTAGCCGTTTACACTATCTACATTTTCGAGGAACGACATAATTTGTTCGCTAACGGAAAACTAAAATCTGACGTCTTCATTTTTCGGTTTATTTACATTTAAATACATTTTAATTTGACAATATTATTTGTTATTGATATATGAAGCAAAATTAATAAATTTCACTTCGATACGCATTTCAAGTATGGTATCGATTATTTCTTATTCATATAAATAAATGCAAATAATGTTAATGCAAATATCTAAATGTGACTTTCAAATTTAATTGCTATTAACAAATAACATTATGTATCAAATATCAGAATATTAATATGTAAAATACATTCGCCCTTAAAAACACTTATCGATATATAGGCATACTAGATTCAGATATGGATGTGCCTAGTGGAAACAACTAATGAAATGTGTGCCTCCAATAACAAATATGTTACTGTAACAATAAACAAAAGTTTACTTAGATTAATTTTATCCAATTCTTAGCTAGAGGAATGTCTGTAATACAGAAATGACATGGCACTCAGCTCTACAACTGTGAAACAGAAAGGACGTCAGCGTCGCAAGCCAACAATATGGACAAGAGAAAAGATTTATAAACTAATTGAGCTGTATCGTGCATCAGATTGTTTATGGAACCATTATTCGGAATTGTACAAAAACAAGGATTGTCGAAATAAGGCAATAGATCGGATATGTAAAACGCTGGAAATTTCCAAAATTGATTATGGTAAAAAAGTGCATAATCTGCGAAATCAATTCAATTCAGAATTAAAGAAATATGAAAGACGTTTGGAAAAAATGGGTGGTGCGAAAAATGCATCAACAAAAACATGTCGTTGGGAGCATTTTGAAACCTTAATGTTTCTGCGACCTATCATTGAGCCCCGACCGGGCTATCAACCACAAAGCAAGGTATTTCTTATTGATTTTAATAATCAAATAAATAATAGTTGTTTAATCTTTTCATTTTCCAGAAATCTGTAAATAGCATTAAGTTATCCTATAATGAAAATACCGAACAGGAACCTGCGGAAAGCCCGATAGAGGAAAATAAAGAATTACCAAATTTAAGTGTCGGGCAGCCAAATAATCGAGTTGTAAAAGAACTTGAACCGTGCGAAGTACAACAAAATTCTACATCAAAAAATTGCAAAAACTTTTCATCAATTTCCACGCATGTGGAAAAGCAAAATTGCATGGAAGTTCCGAGGCCAGGTGTTCGTGATCAGTGGGATGCATTTGGCGAATTGATAGCCAATGAATTTCGTAATCTAAACTCAATGATTTCACGGAAAAAGCTTAAACGTAAAATCATGCAAATTATGCTAGAAGTTGGCGAAGAAGATGATAAAAAATATTCAAATATGAATTGAATTCGTCTCCTGTTATTATTGCTTTCGTTAAGATGTATGATTTTTTTTTTTATAACAGCAAATTTATTTTTCCAATATATTGTATTTAGTTTTAAATTTCTGTTTGCCAATATTTTGTATTGAGTATTAGAATTAATAAAAATATCTGTAAATTTTGTGAGTTAAATCGGTTTAATAATGTATATAAATAATATGTCTCCTATTGTTTTACAGTCTACATTGGTATACATTTATTTTTGTGCTAGAGAAATCTTAAATTATAATTTTTCAAATTATGATCTATAAAAACAAACGTACTTTTCACATAAATTCTAATTGGAACTATGTATAAGCTAAGGAAGGACTGGCTTGTGAGAGATTGTAATAGGATAGTAAAGGATCAACTAGTTATCCGGAATGTAAAAGGTAGTTCTGATGGTACTGCTAAGCAATTTAAATGAGTAAGCGTCAGCATTTTATCTGTACTCGTATTAAAAACTCTATTCCGTACACGCTGGAGACGCTTCCGCAAAGTTGACCGTGTTTCTTTTGCGGAAGAGCATTGAATGCCGTCATGCTGGTAGCAGAGTCCCGCTTTAATGATCGTTAAGCTCCGCTTCAGGTCGAAAAAATCGATTCCTTTCGATGTTACGGAAATTATATGAAATATGCAAATGAAAAAAAAAATAAATAAATAAATAAAATGTATTGGTACTTAGTTCGGTTCATTTTTCCTAATTGCCTACGGATTATGCACTCACTCATGTATTTTGACTTAAATATTGTTATATACCTATATACCGACATACTTTGTATAAATTAAAATTTGTATATGCAGACATATTTATAAATGTATACAAAAAGTATTCAAGTTGACGGGAATTTATTGTTTACATCCAACTTATTTATTATTTTCTCAACATTTTAACATAAGTTATTGATAAACAAAAATGATCAAGGAACATTCACATACATATGTACATTAATATATAAACTTACGAAAATTTATTGTGCGCAATATCCTCATTATAGATTTATGTTTCTAAAAGTCTTTAATTTTATAACATAAGATGTTTTGAGTCGAAGACATTCAAATGCATTTACAATTTTATCATATTGGATGTATTTATATACATATATTTCCCCATTACTGCCTTCATGATTGAATACATGCATACGTCCATACACAGCCATGTAGATACACACACACTGTCGAGGGCATGTCATATAACCATATGATTAATACGCATTGAACAGCTGATTCATTCGAACCTAATGTTTGTATATAAGCACACATTGATGTACATATGTGCATATGTATTTATAAAGACTCACACCATATGGGCATTCTGAGCTCTGGTGCTCACGCACACATTGGCAAAGCCAGCTGCAACAATTACTAAAACTGTTGATATCATAAAGTACCAGGGCCGCATTTTGATTGTCACTGAGATTTTAGATGATATATGTCAGTATAATTGTAATTAAATACGCGCATATACATTTAATTATAAATAAATAAACATATATTGTAAGGTAAACATGTTAAATGTGAAATTTTATATATCTATCAAAGAAATAAAATTGTCGTTTATGGGCCAATAATTAACCGCACTGCGCTACTGTTCACTTTAGTTGAGCAGCACAATCCTCTCAGTTGTGGTCTCTCGCCTCTCCGTCACGAATATGCAAGCGAACGAATGCACAATACGAGTGTATTGCTTATATGTGTGCGTGATTTTATTTATATATGTATACAAACAGATATATGTATGCATGAATATAAGTTTGCAAAGCAGTATAACTGATGGATGTGTGTATGTATATATTTTTACATATATAAATAATTATAAGTATAAACATAATATATAAATATAAATGTATGTACATATACATGCATGTATTTATATATGGGAAATACTGCACTGCAGGAACTCAAGACATCAACTTTGCAAAGCAGTTCATTTGAACAGCTGTAAGCGATCGACGACGACCTCAGCGGTTAATACAAAACATAAACGAAAAAGCTTAGGGACTATACAATAATACATGTATATTTGAGTATACACATGTGTATGTGTATTTTTATACGAAAAACATAAAGATATGTATGAGCTTACATATAAAAAGGCAGAGACAAAAAAAAAACAATTCTGACGAATCAAATATAAATAAATAAACGTGTGTACATATGTATGTGAATACAGCGTCGTGTGTGTATATATAAAGAGCGATAAAAAAACAACAACCTAAAGTAATTTGCGTAGTGTATTTGTGTGTATGTATGCATATATGTATTTATTTACGTGCTTATGTATAACAGACGTTTGTATGAATGTATGAACGTACGTATGAATGTAGTTTCTCGTCACATTCAACTCGTATCTCAATCGGTTCGTGTTCGTCGAGTTCGCTGCTTTGTGATTGTGCTTCTTGCACTGGCACTTGGCGCTAAGATTCAATTGAGCCAGAATGCTCCGACTTTGCCGCGGAGCAGTCGGTCGCAATATGTGTTCTGCTCCGTCGTAGCCTCAATAACGTTAATACGCAGATGATATACAAATCCAAACTAAAACCAAATATAAAATCAAAACAAAACAAAACAAATTAAAAGCCACAACATTTTAATGTCACTAATTTAGCAACAAGTGTTAATCTTAATGCAGATATATGCACGTATATACTTTTGCGTATAAATAATACATTCATTGGCTGTATGTAAAGTATAAAGTGATTAAATCTCAACATTCACAAATTATAATTTACCTGCATGTTCATTGTGATTTGTCTGTGTTTAATCTACACACTGTTTTATATGCCAATGTACATGGATTAAAAGAAAAGCGTAGTTATCATGCGTTTGTATTTGTATATTTTCTTGATGCTTGATACGCGATTCGAAAACGTCATTGCTTATAAACATATGCAACAACAAATGTATATGCATACATACATACATATAATATTATTATAATAAAATATAACAGATTTGAGCAAGTAAATCCACAAATTATAAGTCTATGTGTGTACATAAATATAAATACATACATACATACACACGCATAAACATATATGTATGCGTATGTTCGTGCATCTGTGATTTTTAAATATGTTTCCATAAGAGTATACAAATTTTTAAACATGTATTAACGCACATACATGCATATACACATGTGTGCATGCCTGCATGTGTGTGCCTCAGTGAGTGAGTGTGTGTATGTGTGTGTGAGTGTACATGTAAATAAAATAAACTCATTGCCACAGACAAAACTCGAACGTGAGTCTTTGAACATTGCGAACAGAAAATAAGGAACCAGTTTCACCTTGAGTCAAAATGCATACATGCATACGCAGTATGTACAAGTGGCAACTGCATACATATACAATATGAACATATACAAGTGTACATAAGGACGATCAAAAATATATCCGCAACTTGCATTTGAGCGATCAAGAGAAAAAATGAATAAACTTGTGCATACATATATCCGAACATAAGTGTATGTACATATGTATATGTATATGTAAAATGTAAATATATATACATATATATGTATATATATTATATATATATATTTTTTTACATATGTATGCACATATGTATCTACATATATGCAAGTGCATAAAAACGGAATTAAATTAATATATGTATGTATGTGGGTATATACAAAGTATGTACATATGTATGTATGTGCGCATTTATATATAAGTATAAACAAATCGTTCCATACTTGTTCTTCTACTTGCATTCTCATATATGTGCATTTATATACATATATATATTTACATTTGTATATACATATATGAATGCATGCAGTAATATTGAAAAGGAAATGAATGTTCTTATATACACCTATGTATACTCAAACATACATATACATTCATGCAAATATAAATACGTAGATATTTCATTATTTGTATGTAATGAAATGCAAATAATTGTCTAGTCCAGATCCCAGATCCAGACATCTATTAATAATATAACTGATCTAGATCCGCACAGTCACAAATACTAACTCCAATTAATTTTTTTATTTATCGCTTCAACAGTGCCACAAACAATTCATAGACTAACGACGATATATAAGTTATTTAAAAAATTAAAAATAAAGGCGTGCCAGCCTCTGGCCACACATAAACAACTAAAATGGAAAACTATGAAAATCATATTAAAACTAAAAGATCTCCAACGGTTTTTGGATCTGCACTTGTTCCAGCTAACTCAAGTACTCCGTATTCAGATGCAACTCAAGTAAGTAAAATCACAATAGGAATACATACGTATATACTTACATACTTATGTATGTATGTATGCATGTTCAATCAGAATAAGCAATTTAAAATTAGACAAAAATTGCATTTTAATACCTTGCATGAAAAGCATTTTTATTGAGATAGCATTTAGTCTAGCGTTTCTGCCAAAGATGGCGTTCTTCTACTTATATTTAATCATATACAGTCAACATTTCAACAAAATGTCAATGCCAGCTTAGAAATTGGCTTCCTTCACTTATGTATATGCATACATACATATACAATGTACATATAAGCATTCAACAGTTTAAATGGCATTTTTAGTGTATTTATACCCAATAATAGTTTCTTCTTCATATGAAATTCTTCATATACTTTTAATCGTTTATCTGAAATGGCAATTTTAGTGCATTTCTATCTGACAAAATAGCTTTAAAATACACGCATACATACATACATACATTCCCGCTAACTACGTATTTATGAATGCGTCATGCACTATGTGTACATTAAGCGCATTTAGAATGTCTGATTGGTTCTTATGAACCGAATTTTTTGTCTAGCTTTAAGAGTGTCTGAACTTTATTTCTATTTACATATACATGCATATATGTATGTGTAAGAAACTTTGTTAATTTCGTAGGTGCAGAACGGATGCCATTCCGATAGAAGAGGTCAATGAAACGTTTAACTGATAAGAGTGTATGTATGTGCGAAAAATAGGTGTTTATATGTACATATTTATATAAATATTTTATATATAGATTTGTTTACATATATTTTTCGTTCAATTTTTAGATAGTAATTTCGTTATATTATTTAAAAAGAAAACAAATTATAAAATGCGCAGCATGTGCTTTGCGAGCAAAGGTGTTAATATTTAAATTAAAGATATGTATGTATTTTTATGTAAACACAAGTCATGCACTCCCATTAAGCGTATAAGAGTAGTTTTATATATTTGTATAGGTTTGAGTGTATGTACGTGCATACAGACATGTGTATCTGTGTGCGTGCATCCATTAAATTATAGTATATCAACTGTCTGGCTTCTGGCGTCCATGTTTGTGTTTTGGTTAGATTCATATAAGACATCAAGAATGTAAATCAATAATTTAGAGTCACATTTTAGCAAGTGCAAAAGTAATGTCAATGGCCGCTGTAGCAAAGCGTCTGCGTCCACCTAACCATTTGCTTCATATCCCATTCGTTTGAGCTAAAACAACAATGCTGTGGCTGCTTCTCCTGCCGCTCTTGTTGCTGATGTTGTTGTTGTTGCGTCGGCGTCGGCGTCGGCGTCGGCGTCATTGCCGCTGGCTATATTGGTTGGTTGAACTTGGGGTTCACGAACTGCTTCAAGGTCGTAGTTAACGCTATTACTAGTGTGTTTTTTTCGACTCTAATAAAAAGGTTGTTCACTCGAGCAGTGCGACATTGCGCTTAGTGGACTAGAATATATACAGATATACACAATCTATACATAATATATGTACATATGTAGTCTGTGCATTTTTTATATAGTCATACACATTATGCTTAAATGACGTCTGTTCCGTTTTTAATTTTCTTAAAGTGGTTTTCGTTTTTCCAATTTAGCAATTTTGCGATTTTGGCTTCAACTTTGATTTCAATAGGAAATAATTTTAGATTGGAAGATTTTGAAAAGTTTTTATGGTATTACCAATTATAAATTTGCTATTTTTCAATTTCATTAAGGCAAACATTAATAAATATAATTAATTGTAATTATTAAAAGAATTTTGTTTTAATATTTGCTTCATAATCTAGTTTATTATTATTATTTTAATGTGCTCATTTATAAAACATTAAATATACATTCTACACATGTATCATATATAAAAAAATCGTAGTTTCAACTTAATTAATACATTTTTATTCTTGTAGATTCTAATTAAAGATGTTTTTTTTTTAATAATTAATTATTTTTATAGATGTTAAATATAATCATTATTAAAGTAAATAATAAATATTTCAAAATTTGTCGTTAAATGCTTTGCTTAGATCACCACTATATATATATTTTGAAGATTCGTATATATATATAATATATGAAAGATGCATTCATACACATTTTCTTTGCAAACGTCGTGAGAAGTGAATTATCAAGAATTCGAAAATTATTGTTTCATAAATGTGGTATTCAAGAATATTTTTTAAATTAAACCAGAACTAAAATGCGAATTTTATGTGAATAATAATGCATTCTTCCAAAACAAAAGTCGGGATATTGCGTACTGCCAATATGTCTGGTGAAATATCGGCAATAGATTACATTATCGGACAATGACGGTCTTATCTATAGATTTGTATATAAGCATTGGGTACAGGGTATCAATATGTCGTAAGCTTCTAATAATAATAGCAATAAACTCTCTTTAGTTGATTCAATAAAAAACAGCAGCGGCAATTGCTGCGGATTTATTTCGCCGAAAAGCCATGTTTCACACTTAACAATTGTCACATGGCGACAAATCAATTTACAATTTACAAAATTGATTAAAAAGCACGAATTATATTTATTTATTTACTTTTTTGTTTATTGTGGGAAAGGGAAACTTCTTTGATAAACACGTTTGTGCTTTTTTCTGTTTTAATCTTAGTTAAGTTTTTTTTTATGAATATAAATTGTGGGGTATATATTATGTATATATATATATATATATATATATATATTTGTTTTTATTAAAATAATTTGACTTCAACTGAAAATAGTAGTTATAACATCTAATTAATCTAAAATAGAAAAAAATTCATTGAATCTAAGTTATTTTGAAATCATTATCTATAATAAATATACATTTATATTAAATAATAAATTAATTTCTTTACTAATTGAAATTAAAAATATAATTCTTATCTTTTAGACAAAAAAACATTCTCCTGGCCATATAAAAAGGCCAATGAATGCATTCATGGTCTGGAGTCAAATGGAACGACGGAAAATATGCGAAAAAACGCCAGACTTGCATAATGCTGAAATTTCCAAGGAACTAGGCAGACGATGGCAGCTTTTATCTAAGGACGATAAACAGCCATATATTATCGAAGCAGAAAAGCTGCGAAAACTTCATATGATAGAATATCCAAATTATAAATATAGGCCACAAAAAAAACAATCAAGATCGTCAGTCGTTTTAAAGCAAAATCAGGATATAGATATCGATGTTAAGCAGGATTCACAGAATCTGACGACACCTGTTGCAATAAATGGAACATGTACTGCCGGTCGGAAAAACAAAAGATCTACCTCTTCTTGTCAATCTAGTGCGTTGTCAAAACGTCTAAAAAATGATTCAGGTGATAATGTAAAATGTAATAATGACATAAAGACCCCCTCCAGTACTTTTGAAGTTGTACTCCCACCGGAAAAGGATTATGTAAATCTCCAGTCAGCCGAATTTGTACAAACAAATAATCGAATCGATTGCGGTATACATTCGGGCGATAGTATTGTTAAACTGGAAAATGTATCGGATAACAATAATGCCCTTATCACACAAGAGAATTTGTCATTTCTTCAATTCTTTGATAATCCGCAAAAAACTGAAGACGCAACTCTAGAAACGAACTTATCGTGTATTAGTCAGGGCGTTAGCCAACACGTCCAGCCAAATTTTGGTGATTGTCAGAATATTGGAGAGCCCGTATTTGATTCTGAAGAAAATATTGTGAACGATGCAAATTTGCATTCGGCTAGCCATCACATATCCCCCTATGTGCCAGATACGCAGGAGTGTTTTACAGAAGACTGTGGATCCGAAAGTATACCCCATCAGCCATTCTACGCATTGCGGCCACAAACAGTTACAATGAACATTGAAATTCATAATAGTCCAGTTACCTATGGAGCGAATACATTCCAAAATGAAGAATTCAACCCAATTCCATCGACGACCGAAGACAGCGACTGTAGCATCCTAACATCTACACATTCGCCACACATTGGCTTTTGTAGTAGCAGTATAGACAACAGTCTGGTGGAATCTGAAGGTATTACAAATCCATGTACATATTCTAACCAGGACTACAGCGGTAATTTGATTGGAGCAAATAATGATCTCAACTACTCAGTACATGATAACGATGGAGCTCTACTGGCTTATACTTTTGAGGATCTACCACCTCAACCAACTGGTAGTCATCTAGAATTTAATACTAACAGATATGAGTTTTCAAGCGTATACAAAATGTGAGCTATAGAATGTGAGAAATATTTAAGCTTTGTGTAATTTTTAATAATATGTTTTTACGTTTATAATTATACACCAAAATATATACACATATAAATAGATATTATATACACAATTATATATAAATATATATATATATATATATATATATATTATATATAAGAATATGAACGTACATTTAAACGAACAATAAAATGCATTGCATTAAACGATACATCTTTTGATTGTCCAATATTATTATTTTTCATTATGTACACGCTTTCAGAGTTCAATCAACCGCCCATCGTCTGTCAAGGGGTTTTTATACACTCGTAGCGGATATTCAATTGTGTCATTAAATGTGTAGCATATAGATCGGGTGAGTTACTGTCTGCCGTTTCTAGTGGACTTCCATAAGCAGTGAACGTTGACGCCTCAACTCGTGATTTGAGGTGGTTAGCAACACGACGTGAGGTGTTCGGTAGATCAACAATTATGAGTCAGCAAATATTGAGTTAGGTCATCTCTGAGAATATCATCGCCAGGAGCTTTTCGACGATGGAGTCAGGAATCTTAGAAAGTAAGGTAGTAACTTCAACCTTTATGAACCGCCAAGACTGTTGGGCCTAAATTAAGCCTGTATGTTAGAGAGGTCACTCAGGCGTCCTTCCTTCCAGCCTGCCTTTTTATCCCTTTACATACGATTTATCCTTACCATACGAGTTTGTGGGCTGACCCCGAATCTCTAAGGATTGTGTACCCTGCGTAATCTGAGATGTCCATATATCTGGAGTATTTACTGATTTGGAAACGGCAAAATATTTTCTTTGGGAGTGTGTGGTGCATGCCATTTTCTTTTTTTTAGGCTTTAAAAAGGATCGTAAGGAAAAGCATTTAATAATCTATTGAAATACATAGAAAATATGGTTAAAACAATTTGTGCATAAAATGATATATATTGTATTATAAATAGAATTTGTAAATAAATATAGTTTCATAATCAGTATATAAACGTATTAATTTACATATATTCAGTAGCACAGGAAAAATCACATCAGAGAACAAAAGCCGCGTTAACGGCAATTTATTATAAATCATCGCATATTTAGCACCTATTGTGCTAGCACGAGAACTACTACAACAGTGTCCGATGTATCGTGTTCTCAAAATATCGATTAATCCAAACATTGAACATGCTTAGCAGAAAATCGATTGTTCTTACAAATAGAACTAGTAAACAGAATTATTAAAATTAATTTAAGCAATTACACCATACAGTAATTGCACATAAATATTTTAGTATGGACTGCAATCATTTTATTGAAGTTCCTCTACGTTCCGGTGGAGGAAAGAAAATGAAGAAAAGGAAAGAACTCGATGCTCTGGTTGCGCACTCCTTGACAAAAAGAGGCTCCCACCGTACTATAAATTCACAGGATAAATTGCTTTCAGTCTCAACCGATGACCTTGATGATTTCGCATGGGTAAATATACTTAAATATATTGCTGATTATCTTAGTTATTAAACCTTATCTAACTGTGTTTTTATGGCTAACTATTTGAATGTAAATTCACATGTATGTATGCATGTGTGTATGCTCATATGTCATGCGCCTTTGTTTTGATTTAGATGAGTGTTGCGAGCATTCGACGAAATAACAAGAAGCAAATTTATATCCGCAAGTGTGGTCCCGCGCTTTTCTGCATTGCAACAGTCTTTTTTGTGTCCATATTATATTGGGTATACTTCGATTTGCGTCAGCAAATCTCCGATTATCAACAAAAATTTGAAGAAGGTAAGAAACACTGCAAGTTTTTATTTCTATTTCATGTTTTTACAGTTGATTAAAAAATTATACGCACATATGGACTTGGAACTCAATGAATTTAAAATTTGGCAAAGAGGGATATTTCAGTCCTTGTACTATAATTTTTTGATCAACTGTATTTACATATTCTTATAATTATATTATTAAATTTATTTTATGTTTAATTTCAAATAGTTTCGGCCGTAAGCAAAGTATTTCCGGATACACTTCAGCAGTGGCATGAGACGACGTCGTTTCTTATAAAAAATCAGTCTTTAATTATATATCAATTGAATGATTTGACTCAAAGCGTGGAATTACTGGGAGCCAATTTAAGCAGCCTCCAAGCAACCGTAAACGCACAACGGAACTATGGCCAGGATCAAAAGATTGTTGCTGACTTTGGAGCCAAATTGGAGGCCGTTGTTACCGATATGGAAGTGGTAAAGAAACATCTCAATAATTACGTCGATGATCAGAAAAGCCTTAAACTCGAAACGGATATTTTGAAGGTAGCTTAAAGTGTTTATTTTCAATCATTTTCTTTTATCATACATTATTCTTATTTTTAGGGCAATATAAGTCAATTATCCACTGTTCAAGCGAATTCTTCTTCATCGGCAAATTATACAAAGGATATTAGCCAATTCAAAGAAACTATGGAAAATACATTGAACAATGTGAATAACCAAATTGTTTCTGTTAATAACACGTTAAGCCAAACAATTAACATACTGCATGGCGAGATAATGGAATATAAAGTAAGTATATTTTGCTTATAATGTTCTTCAATACAATTATTGTTTACTTATTTATTTTAGACAAAGTTGGAAGACCTTTTGGATCGTTTTCAAAATATAACTTCTCATGTCGCCACATTGAGCAACAATTGGTTGCAATTCAAGCAAAAAATGATAGTTGTCGACGAGCAATTGAGCAAATTCAATGAAAAGGTAAGTTCAAAATCATTCTAGTCAATTTGTATAGTACATACAATTATTACATATATTTTTATATATGGTATTTTCATACAAACAGAACAAACAAAATGATTTAATAGATCAAGTGTAACATCAGCCAACGAGTCAATAAACGCAACCACTTCAGCAGCAGCAGCATGAGCAGCAACAGCAGCAGCAGGAGCAGCATTATCAGCAACTAGGACAACAGCAACAAAAGCAACAGTTGGAACAGCTTTAGCTAACTGCAGCAACATGTGTAGTTGGCGCTACAGTTCCAGATATGACCAAGTTAACAGCAGCAGAGGATTCAAACAGCATTTAACATAAAACAGTTCATTTAAAGTCAAATGAACTATAAGAACGATAAGCAATGGATGCGATGAAGAAACATCTGTAACAGCAACTTCTCATGACTTCTTGCCAGATGAAGAGAATTTCAAATAATATACCAAATTGTCAATTTAAGTTCTTAGCTTGCCGCTACAAAATTAACTTTGTATTGGCGCTAGTCAACATTAAATTTATGATTCAAGATCAGCTGTAGTTGACTGTGCGTTCTTCGGTCACCGTCTGCACAAAGGATATTTTGAATAACTGAAAATGAGCAGAGCCCTGCGAGATTGTTAAAGGCAAACAGTTGGCTGAAGATGAAGTGTTAGCATTTTAATAAGTGGTGTAGGAACAGGAGGAACAGAGGATAAACGAATTATGTATTTATCAGTTCCAGGAGACTTGCTACGTACCATCTATAATAAGTTAGTTATAATGCAGGACACCAAAAAGAAAAAAAATACTTGAAATACAAATTGTATAAAACATTTAGTGTATGCACACGAGCAGCGCCGAGCTGTTTTGTTTATTGTAAATTTTGTAAATATGTTAAAAATCGTTAGTCAACGATCAATCTGAATGCTTTAAGTTCAACTCTGACAGCCATTTAGTTTTATGAATGCCCATCTTAGTACTTAATGTTTGTGTAACCAAATGTCATTGACGTAATAATAATAAATATTAAATGTATAAGGTTTAAACTTCTTAGGTTACGTATAAATTTGTTATTGAATTCTGTCATGCAATTGTTTTTTTTTGTTTATATTTATTTAAAATAAAAATCTTTTCAAATTACATTCAAAATTGTTAAAAATCTGTTTATTCAAGTGCTTTATAAAGCGAGTGTTTAACAGAAATCACATTATCTAAAGTAAATAGATAATATTTCAAATTAGATATCAACTTTATCCAGACATGTGTATAATTCCTGTAAATGTAAGTTAAGTTAAAAAAAAAAATCAGATTTCCTTCTGGAAAGCAGTCGATTCACATCTCATGACATTTTCCATGGAGCTAAATGGAGTGTTGGAGTAACTATAGCGTTCTCCATAGTTCTCAACATTTCTTCAAGTATTGGTGCCTTTGAGCTAGGGAAATTCTGCTTTTGAGCTCAGCAGCAGACGAAATCACAGCGCTCATTTGTGAAAGAGTAAGTGTGCATCTGCAGGTACAATAATCCTTTGCTTGAGCTTAGTTTTTCTCGGATCTATCCGCGAGCGTAACCTTTAATCAAATTTAAAATTGATTTAATCCAATCCAAAGAAAAACCTTGTTAGTTATTTTGGTAAATCAAAAATTAATATGTATATATTTTTTGTTTGAATATCCTAAATTTCTAGTGAATTTATACAATACGACGTTAGTTAACATTAGAAGATTTTAAATATAAAGAGTTGGACAGAGATTTTGGAAAGCGACTCAGATAGCGCTCAAGTCGTAGAAACTTAATAGATATCAGACGCTTATCAAACCACCATCCATTGATTTCATTGTGCACAATGCCAGCGTCAGCCTCGCTAGCGCAACGAATGTACACGCAGCAGGACTGAGTGTCCAGCTGGATATCGCATATGTTGCAATTGGGTCCGACTTTTTCAAATATGGATTCGACTATCAATTGCTTCAAGTTTGGTTCCTTTATTTCGGACGCGTCGAACATGTGGCGAATTTTCAGGCAAGATGTGGGCGGGTTGACGATTTTATTCGAGTTATCAAATGCGGAACTTTGCCATTTCTTTGATGTGCTGAAGTCCTTGTTGCCAATGTTTTTATTCAATGTAATTGTGCGTAGTTGTTCTCCATTTCGTACTATCATCCCAAAGAGAACACGGGTATCGTTTGCCTCCAACTGCTGCAGGGCCTTGTTCCAAGCACTCATCACTTTTGATCGATTGTGAGGTGGCAGCAATTTGTCCTGCAATTGATTGATTATGATCTCCGAATTTTCCGAATGTGTACTATGATACATCAGCTCATTGATGATATCCTTCTTAAACTGTTCCGTTAATTGTAGACTTTCTTTTTGTTTCATGCGATAAAGGGAGGACAGGAAATAAATCAGGAAAAATCCAGCAATTGTGAGAATTACCAATCCAATAACTGTGAAAAATCGTGTCATTTTCTTTAAGATAAGGCACTTGAGTGGTAAATTTGGTTCGATAAGCTCAAACGATATTGTTGGTTCTGTTGAGTTATAGGTGGATACAATCGTCTTTATCATCCACTGCGGATTCTGCGCAATTAGGTACTGCGTAGCTAAGAGTTTATTGTGTAGATTACCATTTTGTATCTCAGTGTTCCGGCTCAATGCCTTCTTGAAGTCATTCATTTCAAGCGTCGCAGAGTGATCCTCGCTTATGCAATGGTGAAGTCGTGCTCTTTCATTCAGATACCCAAAGAGTTCTTTACATATATACAATGCCTTGTTGAACTGATCTTCGCTAATGCATTTCACTTTTTGAGCTGATCCACGGAGATCTATGTCGTTCATATTACATATGGTATATTTGATATCCGTTTGTGTGATGGGACTAAGGTCGAATTTCTTTGCCGTATATAGAACAGAAATCAATGCCAAGAATATGAATAGCGACCCAATAAGTACAGGCGGTATTATATATTGGCTAGCATCTGGTTTTTTAAGAAACGATCGCAGATCAAATGACAGCAGTTTCTGTATAATCCCATTTCGCATCAATGTCTTCGATGAATGCGCCGAGTATCCATCCTTAAACATGATCTTCTTCTTAATCGAGGCATCGCGAAAGCTAAGGAGTCTGTTAACAACACCTCCATCGCAATTATTTGATTTATCATATATTTTATAATATGGGGCTGGCTTCTCGGCTGGATATATGGGTTTTCGGCTATGAATGCTCAAGGAATGCGGCTCATTTTCATTTTCATAATGAGACGTTAAGAGCGGCGGTGGCGCATACATAGATAGTCTCGAACTTTTTCCCATGCTCTCACTCGCATCATTTCGGTGCGTTAGCGAAGAGCTCAGACGTGTATTAATCTTATTGTTCTCATGCTCCTTGTCAATTATGTTTGGATTTTCCTGTATTGGAATTGCTGGATGTGTATTTTGCTTATCATTGTAGTAGAGTACATAATTATTGACTTTAACTCTTTGGAGTTTCTCCTTTTTAATGTGTTTCATTAGTTTTTTGATAAGTATGGGCCTTGTTGTTTCAGTCACTGGAGTATTCGCATATCCAAATTGTTGTAATTTCCTTTGTATTTCAATGTCGGTCAGGGAATTCAAGTTTTCGTCCATTTTGTGCTGAAAAAATAAATAAATATTGTTTATTTTTGTTCTAACGTTAAGATTAAATTACAAATACATGGAAAATACCAGTTGGAATTCTGAATTTCATAACTCCCAGGGTATTTGTTAGTCTTGAAGCATTAAGAAATTCTATTCCATCTATAAATTCTAATTATAGCTCTCTGCACTAAAATAAACAAACATTTCCAGACCTCATAATCATATTTATGTAAATTGGAGAATTTCGTTTTGTATTATAATGAGTTGATATTTCACATTAAATGTTTAGGGAAACATCTTTCTAAATTTTATGCCATATTACAAAATATCAAATTTTGTTCTGTGTGGAGATCCTTCTGATCTCATAAAATGTGTTAAGCATTTCGATTTTGTGTATTTCCAAAAGCAAAGACAATGCTTACCTCTGCTGTGCTTGTTTACTAATGTTTAGATTGCGGCTAATGAATGAATATCGCGCATTTTAACTTACCAAACGCCATCAAATTCTTATTGACTATATTTTCAATCAAGTGTTAATTGACTAATCAACAATTAATGCGCACGTTCATGTTTATTAGGAGTTTCGTGTTAATCATTAGAATGACTTGTTTTAAAATTACAATACTTTAATATTTAATAATCTGTAAAACTTACTCAATGATCGGCAAAGTTGAGATATTAACTATTAAAACAATACAATAAATTCCGAAACTATGTTAGGGATGCTCAATATGCATCGATTTTTAATAAAATATCGATGTATATCTTTATATGTATAAACACATTGGTATATCGGTATATCGCATCATAACAATTTAATTCAAAACATCGTGAATTTACGAAATGCCAGCATTAAAGCAAATTAATATAAAAGACACCAATAATTTTATTACCTAAAAATTCTGTAATCTGGCTGTTTTAATATTATTGTGTTATTTAATGATATCCATGTATGGTGAAATATGCAATTAGGGCACTAGCTTTCGCTTCTAGTTGTAATAAGTATGAGCAGCAAATTATATCAGTAATTTTTCGAATTAAAAGTAAAACTATTTTACCGCAATTCTTTTAATAATATGTATTATATTTTGTAATCTTCTTAGTGCATATGCCTAGGAAAACATAATTATTGGATATCGATAGCTTTTATTGAGCAGCATCCTAATCGAAAGCGGATCATCGCTATAAGAATGCGCAAACAGTGCGTGGCATCTCATCTCTAGTGGAGAACATTGTATACTGCGAAAAACGACCAAATAATTTTAAAAAACATATGTCTCAGTAAATGAGAGCAAGCAGTCATTTGCTCAAGAACTTGAATCTCTCCGCAACGTAAATAAATATTCATGTTGAAATGACACAATACAAATGTGTTTCCTACATACTTCTGTGGAATATCATAACAGCCGTTGCGCTGGTGGATCGTCAATTGCACACGTATTCAGAAGATGCAAGGAATTATGGCCAAGATAAAACCGAGAGCCTCACTGGCTCATTTCCATTCCTTATGCCATCGGTTTCTCCAAAAACTGTAAGCAGCAAAACATTTCATGTTGTAAATATGTTCATGTAGTTGCATTCAAAACAATTATTATCAATGCTGCGCGCGTATATTTTGTGTATGTATGTATGTGTATAGATAAGGCTTTTGTCTGTCCGAGCATAAAAGAAAATCGATTTTTGAAAATAAATTTAAAATGCAATTTGTTTGGTTTGAATTGACGCAAAACGTTACCATATGGATGGAAATCCCCTAGCTTGTTTGTTGGCATATTCCCTTATCACTGCAGATAACATATTGACACTGTTGAAATGGCATTCAACAGTTTATTACGACTTCAATATGGGAAAAATCATTTTATATTAAAACAGGTTTCAATTTGGAGACATTTTAGATATATTAAAACCCTTAATTTCATTGATAAAATTAAAAAAAAAAAAACAATTTAATCATATATGTATGTATGTATTTTGTAGTCGTCCGTTTCCTTGCACAATATATTTCATATTATCCAAGGCCTACATCATCAGGTGTCTGTAGTACACAAAACTGCCTGCGTTCCAACAAGTCTCCAATTTTGATAAAAATTGATTTATTTTATGCTCCAGGTTCCAGATTCTTTAAATTTTAAATACACTCTTTCTATAATCTACTTAATCATCAAGAGCAATACCAGGAAATATATTTTTGCGAATTACAGATGTTTTTACCTGTATTAACAGGTTGCAATCAATTTTATTGTACTTATTTACGTATGTATTAGTATGAATTCAATTTTGATTCATTGTATAAATGTATAAGTAGAACCAAGAAGATTTGAATGACGAGAAACTTTATTAAAAGTTAATATAAGAAAAAAGACAATTGACCTTATAGAACAAGTTTGTTACTCATAAGCGCTAACAACTTATACAAATAAATAAATATGCATCACATATATAATTATTTAACAATTATAATGAAATCTTTATTAT